CCTCTGGACCCTCTCAATGTTGTCCACATCCCTCTTGAAGTGGGGTGCCCAGAACTGGACACAGTACTCCAGCTGTGGCCTGACCAGTGTCGCGTAGAGGGGGAGGATCACCTCCTTGGCCCTACTTGAGATGCACCTGTGGATGCATGATAGGGTCTGGTTAGCCCTGCCGACCGTGACCTCGCATTGTCGGCCCATGTTCATCTTGGAGTCAATGATGACTGCAAGATCCCTTTCTGCCTCTGTGCTCTCAAGAAGGGAGTTTCCCATCTTATAAGTGGGTTGCTGGTTACTACTGCCAAAGTGCAGCACCCTGCACTTGTCAGTATTGAAACACATCCTTTTTTTGTTAGCCCACCCTACAACCTATCCAGGTCTTTCTGCAGTCTTTCCCTCCCTGCTAGTGTGCCCACCTCACCCCAGATTTTGGTATCATCAGTGAATTTGAACAGGTTGCTTTTCACCCCATCGTCCAAATCGCTGATAAAGAAATTGAACAGCGCGGGCCCAAGGACCGAGCCCTGGGGGACTCCGCTGCCCACTTCCCCCCAGGTCGAATATGACCCGTCCACCACCACCCTCTGAGTACGACCCTTCAGCCAATTAGCAATCCATCTGACCATGTAGGCATCGATGCCACAGTTGCCTAGTTTTTTAACGAGGATGGGGTGGTCGACAGTGTCAAAGGCCTTGCTGAAGTCTAAAAAGACTACATCCACGGCGACACCTGCATCCAATGCTCATAGCACCTTGAGGTGCACTTCCCCCCAAACTCCTACACCTATCACCTTGAAATTTGGCAGGCTTTGTGGCCTCAGCAGGGGCTAGCATTTCTATAGTTTTGACGTTGATGTGGCTTAACACATACATGTGACACGTTTGGCTCTCAAGAATTTGGGGTGCAGTTTCTCTGAACTGCCTGCATACATCTTCTTGAAACTTGGCATGCTTTATGCCCATAGATGGAGCTACTGTTTCTGCAAGTTTCATCCAAATATGGCCAGAAATGACAAAGTCATAGGCTGTTTTGACCTTCCCCATTATAGCCTATGGGCAAAACATCGAAACAGCGTTGAAATGGACAAAATACTTTGACTTGTCTTGTTTTATTTTGAGGCTGTTTCATCCATATCTGTTTTATTTCAATTTTGCTGTTGTGACTTTGAAACAGGTTGAAACAGAGTTGAAACAAAACTGGTGGTGAAATTTTGCACAGCCCTAATGTTTAAATCCCAGCAAAATTTTGAACTCTTGCATTGAAGTCTTCAAGGACCATGATCTTGTCCTCTTTCAGGATGATTGTCAGATTTTCATTATGGTCAAAATAAAACTGTTCATTCTGTTCTTCCTCAGCATCAAGTGTTGGGGCATATGCACTGATGATGGTAGCAAACAAACTATTGGTCAGTTGACGGCAGAGTCATGAGGAGCTCATTAATGCCAACAGCCAATTCAGTCATTCAGCTAACAGTCTTGTCCTTGATGGTGAAGCCAATGTCCTGAACTTTCCTGTCATTTGCAGGTTTCCCTTTCCAGAAGAACTAATAGCCACCCCATCCTCCTTCAGTTGGCCTTCATCTGCACATCTAATCTCACTTTTCTTCTGAATCATATAAACCTACTGTTCTGAATCATTCATTCTCTGTTTTGGCTCCATTGAGTGATGATAGGAAATCTAATCTATCACTCTGGTGTATTTAGTGCCCTGTGTGGAACAAGCACAGGACACAAAGTCTGGTTCAGAGCCTGTCCTAAAGCTGGGTATTTTCTAGTCAGTGACTTTGAAGCCTAGATCAAATTTCTGGTTTTACTTGGGGAGTCTCTGACAGAGATGTATATTTGTAACTAGACAAGCATGGAGAATATTAAGAGACATGTCAGCTACTTTGAGCACTGGAAGGCAGGTAGACTTTTCAGAAAATAGCAGGGGGCATTGAGAGGCCAATTACTGGGGAAAGAATGGCCATTTATGCTATGCATGACTGTTAAACTGTTTAACCAAACAAACACCTACATGAATGAACTGATTACTGAAGAGAATTCAGCAGAACTGTAGGGTTAAAAATAGTTTGAACTGCTTTTGCATGTTGTGAGTAGCTGACTATGACAAGTTCAGGAAAAGATTCCTGAAAAAGGAAAATTGCCAGATTTTATGGATTAATAATCAGCTGGCTGAATGGGATTGCCCTCAGTGTAGAGCAAATGATTTTGTGAACTGCGTGCTCAGTCAAGTAAACACATTCCTTTATTGCCATCTAGAGCAGGGGCAGACAATTATTTTGGCTGGAGGGCCGCTAAATGAGTTTTGGTGAACTGTCAAAGTCTGCAAGGGTAGTCCCACCCTTTGATGGGTGCCCTTCCTCCTGGTTGCCATCTTGGGACTGGAAATCCCACCCATACCCTCTGACCTTTACCATCAGAAGTTGGTGGGGGGGGAGGGGCGACAGATTGCCATCTTGGAACCAGAAAAAACCCAAATCCTATACTAAAAATCAAACTCCTACTATAATATACTTTAATTTTCTTTCAAAAAATATCTTGTCCTGATTTATGTATGTTTGCACTGTGTATGCTGATGCAATCACATAATAACTAAAAATTAAATCTTCCTTTTGTATATTGATTTTGGGGGGGTATGTGTGGGAGTGTTTGGGGTGTGGTAGGGGGTAGGTGTGCATTGTGAGGTGTGGAGGATATGTATGTGTTTGTGGGTGGATGTAGAGTTTGTGGGGGGCGTGAGTGTGTGTGGGGTTTGTGCTTGTGTGGGGGGTGTGGGATATGGCATTTGTGTGGGATTTATTGGTAAGTGTGTAAGGTGTGTGTGGGGAGATAGGGCGTGGGTGTGTGGGTGGGTGTGGGGTATGTGGGTGGAAATAGGGTGTATGGGGAAATATGGGAGAGGGTGTGCATTGTGTGGGCAGGTATGGGTATGGTCGTATGTGGGTATGGGGTAACATAGCCCCTTCCTGGCACACAGCCCCTCCCCAACAGCAGCAGCAGGTGGCAGACTCTCAGGGTGCTTATGGCACCAAATCTGCCCACCCCACTCCACCCTCCTGCACCAGGTCCCACCCACTGGGCCACAGAGGCAGCTCCTGCCCAGTGCCAGTCCAGCCAGGCTACAGCCTCGTGCCCTGCGCCCTTCTGTTGGCACAAAAAATTGTGAGGGGGCACATGCCCCCCTGATGTGTCACCAACAGACATGCCTGGACCGTGCCTAGCCAGTCCCTAAACCCTGGCCCTCCAAACCATCCCCTATCTCATAGACTTACCTGTATACAGCTGCCTCCCGCTATCCTGCTGGGCTGTATTGCTAGCCACATGTGTGTGCATGCGCACATGTATGTGGTGCCCCCTGCCTCTGATTTCCCTGCTCCCACTTCCCCCAGCCCCAGGCAGCT